CTGAGGATTGCGCCGACATGCCAGATCTGATTGAGGAGTAGCGGGCCCATGGACTAAGTCCTGCCAGTTTCTGGAGAGGAATGGGGCAATGAATATGCCTGACATGGTCGGCCACAGGGAAACCAGGCAAAAGGTCTGTCGACTTTCCACTTGCCTTTGTGCGGCGCGTGCTGCTTGAGGGATTTTCCCTGTTGAATCTGTCAGTTTGAGATGGACGGGACAGGCCAGGTTGAACGAAAGATGTTGTGAGCTGTCTAGCTTGATCTTCATGCAGATTCATGCAGCTTTTCAAAGTCGCACAATGTTGCCATGTTGCCGGTTGCCATCTCAAAGCCACAGAGCCTCCGCTCATGTGGAAGCAAAATCTGCGGCAGAGATTGCGAAGGGTGTGCGTAGTTCAATGCTTTGGATGATTGGGTTTGATCTTTTCCCGTGTTGTGGTTTTGATGCAACAATGGTTTTCACTCTGGATCTGCACGCAAAATTTGTTGCCTTGTATTGATCTGGGACGAGGTTTCAAGTTATGGTCGGAAAGCTTGCGCCTTTGACTGCCAGACAGCCTGTTTCCTTATCTCCTGAGTTTGCAGCACAGCCTGCGACCCCCCCACTGGCAATCATGAGTCCGGAGATCTTCGAGTGTGAGCTGCTTTCCATGGCTGTGATTAATCCAACTGTTAGGACGAGGAATTTCGTGATGAGCTAGAGCAAGCTCACGCAGACATAGCAGCCTTGGAGGAGGTGCAAAGCTTTCAACATCAGCATTTTCTTGGATTCTGACTTGTGATGCATTTTTTGTTTCAGTTGGTTTGAGCCCTTTCTATAGGTTTGAACATGACCACGGACCCTCATAACATGTGGAAGGATTCGTTTGCACGGGCTAAAGTGCAACGGAGAAATTTGGCAGTTTGACGGTGCTTCGGATCAAGATCTGAAGTTCGCTTGGCTAGGAGTTGCAGCAGAAGAAGCTGAACTGTGCATTGAAGGAGGCGCCTGCGGATTGGTCACTTGCTGGGGCGCAAAGATGAGCCAAACAGCGTGCACAGATGCTCACGATAAAACTCAGGCTGCTAACTGAGGCTACGAGATGCTAAATTACCGTAATATATATATATCGAAATATATCGTTGGAGCTTCATCAACACATGAAACGGCACTTTTTTCCAATTTTAGGTACCACCAAAACGGAGGGGGGGAATGCTCTTGGAGATGCTCATGAGCGACCCGGATTCCGTCCAAAAAGCTCTCCATCAGCAGTAGTAGTAGTAGTAGTTGTTGTTGTTGTTGTTGTTGCTGTTGCTGCGCCAACAAAAACCTGTAATCCTTGACGCGCTCACCCTTGCATCAGCCGGGGTCGGCGGATTTGCCCCCCTAGAAACGTTGACGAACCACGGCTGACCGTGCCACAGAAACGCCGTGGGTGGCAGGTCCATTGCGGCAATGACTGGCCGCTGTGACGCGGTCAGCTTCACCTCCAGCATGAGGGACACTCACCTGGAAGAGGTGATTTCATAGGATTTAATGGGATTGAACTAACCGAGGATATATCCATGATTTTCAAAACTTTCCAAGTTTGGGTCTAAGGATTTCCTTCCAGATTTTGAAAGGCTTGTTTTATAGGAGTTCTTTTCTCGTTTTGTTCAGCAAGATTGGGGAGTTTCAGGGATGTCTCAAATTTGTGACGCGGAACGGCTCTCACTGAGGCATCCCTAGCAAGACCTGGCAGTCTGGTTTAAGTTTCATTGTTTTGTCAGGACCCACTTGTGGCAGGCCATCCGTTTGCAGATCGGAGGTTTTGCAATTGGTGACCCAAATCATGTTTCATGCATTTTCACGCTGTCTCACTGGAGACCTTCCCGTCATAACGATCAATGCGCTTTTATTGATTGTCCACGTGTTTACTTTTTTGGGGGGCTTCCAATTCCCAGTGATTCTGATTCCACAACCAACTCTATTGCTTGTGCGAGTCCCCAAATGCTGTAGCCGGATATATAATTCTCTGCGGTTCCAATACTCTCTGCAATTTCAATAGGGTGTTCCAATTTTAGAAGATATTCCCAGGGTTCGATAAACTTCCAATGGTTTCCAGAGAATAATGTCATGGTTTCATAAACTTCCAATCTTCCATAAGCTTCAATAAAGTTAGAGTTCCCCAAGCTTTCCACTATGAAATTCCATTCGCTCGCCCCCGAGGCGCTCTCCAGAGACTTCGCGCCCTGGCCGCTCTCGCTGCGCCTAGTCACAACGGATGCCAAGAGTCTGGCGACGGCCATGGCCACGTGACTCGGCGGTTGAGAGCCTGCAGGGATGGGATAGGGAAATGGCAACTTTAAGGAAGAACATATGGGAAAATATGGAAATGATGAGAAATGAGGCTTGAAACTTGAAACCATAGGATTTAGAGTATCCAAACTTGTTGCTGAAAATTGGAGGAGCATTTTTTCCATGAGTTTGAACTATTTCCAGGCTGTACCACATGAGGTACTAGAAGCAAGGGTGTATTTCAAGGCGGGAGGGCTGTGATATGCAGGAGAAATAGATTCAACTACTGTATATCTAACCGAAGGAAGTTTAGAAGTCAAACTTCCGACAATATAGGCAGATGGAAAAGCAGAGGTGGGAAGAGTCAGAGAGGAGAAGAGCAGAAGAGAGAAGATCAGAGAAGAGAAAGAGCCAGAAGAAAGAAGATGCAGGTGCGGGAAAAGGTAGAAAAGTTGCAATGCATTGTGTTTTTCCACTGATTTGTGGCTCCGGAGGGTCGAAATGTAGGCTCGCTAAAGCGGCGGGTGCGGAGCCATCTGGCCAGATAAGAGATGAAAAAAGTGCACGCCGTTGTGGCGCGAAGCACATTTCCAAGTCAAAATGTACAAAGCGCACCACGTTCAGACCGCTTTTGGAAGTTGAGATGTCGAAAAAGTGCACGCCGTTGTGGCGCGAAGCTCATTTCGAAGTCAAAATGTACAAAGCACACCATGCTCGGACCAGTTTTGGAAGTTGAGATGTCGAAAAGGTGCACGCCGGTGTGGCGCAAAGCACATTTCGAAGTCAAACGTGGAAAAACTGACGGGTTCGGAGCACTTTTGGACGTTCGGATGTTGTTTTGTGTGGCAGGCGCAAGGGAATATGCACCTTTGCCAAAAGTGAGTAAAACGTTTTGTAGCAGTTTCAACTACAACTACCACTACACTACACTACACTCCGCTACATTACAGCTACAACTACAACTACATTACACTACACTACATTACACTCCACTCCGCTCCACTCCACTCTCAACTACACTACACTACAACTACAACTACAACTGCAACTGCAACTACAACTACAACTACAACTACACCTACACGACACGACACGACACTACACTACACTTCCACTACAGATACAACTACAATTACAACTACACGACACTACATGACACGACACGACACGACGCTGCACTAGACTACCCTAATTACACTACACCCCGCTACACTACACTACGCTACACTACACTACACTACACTAGACTACACTACAGCACGCAACACTACAGCACACTACACTACACGACATTACATTGCACTATACTCATTACACCACACCGCAACTACAACTGCACCTGCACCACACTAATTACACTACACTACAACTACAACTACTACAACTACATCCAGCAGTTGTGGTGAGGTGACCACTTCAACCACTCAAAAAAAAACCTCCAACCACCCTTTCGGCCCATCAGTGGATTCGCTCTGCCATCCGGGATTCACAACAACCAACCTCTCCTATAGGTTTCCTATTTTTGAAACTTCCGCCACCGCCTTGTGCGGTACTACTGGTATTTTTTTGGCAGGAACGTGCAAATCCACGCAGGAAACCAACATGACTATATAGTCATATCTGTGGATGGTACTTCACATATCTGCCTCAATCCATACATATATTCCAGCGAAAATATTTCCAGACCACCTTTGCCCGTTGAATTTTTGGTTCAAAGACGAGGTGCCCAAGGCTCTGCCACATCACACGGCAAGGTTTTCAGACATCTCTTTCGTGCGACGCCATGCGTGAAGCCATCTGCATCCATATCGGCCAGGAGTCTTGGACCTTTTCAGTGGTTGATGATGGTTTCACCATGGCTGGGTATGTGTTTTTGAAATGGTGTTTTGGGTCATAGAAGCACCACATGAATTGAAGAACTTACACATGTTGTATACATGGCAGACTTCGAAGGTTGAGTTGAACAGATAGTGTAAGACACAGGCGGTTTGAGGGATTAGTGCAAGGAGTTGCACCACTGCTAATGTTTGGCTTATGGAGTCAAGGCAACCTGGGTAAGCTGGGCCAAGACCAGAATGGGTTTGTAGCTGGGGCACCGCCAAATGTGTTTCCTAAAATAGGGGTACCCCTAAATCACCCATTTTAATATTAATAGGATTTTCCACTATAAACCATCAATTTTGGGGTACCCAATTTATGGAAACTTCCGATTGTTCATCATCATTTTCCCATCCAATGGCCATAGTATACTACATTTTCAGACACAATGGGTGCTTAGGATGCCCCCAAGGCTCATACTCCCTAGGTTCCACAGCTCATACTGATGAGTAGGTTCCACGCCAACCTTGGCATTTTGGCATCTCTTCACATCCATTGGCTAAACATTTGGGACGAGGATTCCCCAATGAGCACAGTGGAGTTTCTTCACACGCCGAAATTCAAACGTTTGGTTTGGTCAAGTCTCAATTCGTATTCGCTTGTTTGCGCAGCACGGACGGTCCAATTCATTTTAGTCATAAGGGTTTGTGACATATGAAGAGTGATGTGTAAATCCCGGCAATTTTGCTTGGGGAATGGTATGTGACATCCTACTGACAAGAGCCACCCATAGTCCATAATCATCCATTTTCAGCAAACTCTGAGCACATTCTGTGGCTTTTCCCACCAAGGGCGGAGTCCAGATTGGCAATGCTTGCTGGGAGCTCTTCTGCTTGGAGCATGGCATTCAACCAGATGGCCAGATGCCAAGTGACTCGGCTGGTTGACCCGGTTCCAGACCTGGCGGAATGAACTTGGTGGAGAATAAGGTGGGGGTTTGCAGGTTTGCAACCGCTGAAGCAAAGCTATAGACTTTTTGGGCTGTGCAAATCAAATCGAAGCCGCTCGACTGAAGATGCTATTGAACATCCCTGAAAATCAAGGAACTTTTGCCTTTATGCCACCGCAGGAAGGCAGATGATGATTTTTCCTGAAAAACCTTCTGCTCCGACAACGCCCTTGTAACAATCAACTGCAACAACGCTGCACCGCAGTCGCCACAAGTCTTGTGCAAAATGGCTTTTAGGCAAGCGTTGAAACGACACCAAGGCATTGCATTTTTGTGTTTTTTTTGGTGCTTTCTTGTTCCAACAAAGGAACAATGCACATACCAGCAGATTTGAGCTTTGGAGCCAACAAAGCAAAGCAACTGTTACCTAAATGTTTTGTCGCCGGGTCTCTGAGAGGCTCGCGACTGTTGTCACATTTTGCGTGTGAGTCTCAACTGGATGGGGGGGGGGTGGGGGGGCTGGGCTAATAACGTTCTTTACCGTATGTTCTCTTGCACTTGCACAGACACACCCACACACAGACACACGTCATGCTACCCTGCTGTCCGTCCTCTTGCACTTGCACACACACACAAACGTAATGCTACGCCGCTGCCCATTCTCCTGCACTTACACGTTGGTGATGATGACGGCGATGAAGATGAAGATGAAGATGAAACAAGAAGAAGAAGACGAAGAAGAAGAAGAAGAAGAAGACGAAGAAGAAGAAGAAGAAGAAGAAGGTGATGATGATGATGATGATGATGGTGCCGCTGCTGCTGATAATGATGATGACGACGACGACGGCGACGACGACGACGACGAAGACGACGACGACGACGACGACGACGACGATGAAACCAAAACGTTTTGTTCTTGCCCCTTTCCTATTCCCCTATATACTATGTTTGAAACGTGGCAACAGGCACGAGCCTCTCAGAGACCCGGCACCTTTTTTACATGTTTTTTCTCAAAACGGTTTGTTCACACTTGGGTTCTTATGTTAAGAGTGAAGGCCTGGTGTTGATTCAAGGTGGTCTCATACAGGTTCGCCCTTTTGGTGATCCTTGCAGTGCAAGAGTTCCTCGATCCTCCGTTTTCGAAGGAAGTTTCGCAGGAAACGTGTTCTTGGAGACTGGTATTGCAGAGGTGCGTTCTCGCCTGCATGCTGCGCGCTGTGTCCTTTTTGATTTTTTTTGGAGATATGTGCATGTTTCGTGGCAGGCGCAAGAGCTTCGTCACTTTTGGTGGAGGGTCAGAACCTCGTTTTGCGTGGCAGGTGCAGGGCATCGGACACTGTTTCATCCGCGTGACAGGCGCCGTACCTAGTGCACGTTGCTCAAGTGCTGGCAGGGGCAGGTCGAATTTTCTTGGCAGGCGTAGTATTTGGTGAACTTGGACGACGTTTTGAACACTTTGAAAGCGTTGTTTTGTGAAACTGTCGCCGTTTTTGTTTTGGTACATGATGATTGTTTCGCGTGGCAAGCGTCAAGTGCAATACTTCGGATGCCTCCGCCCATTTTTCGTGTACTTTATGTAGAGACCGGCCAAAAGTGGATGAAACCAAGGTATTTTTTTTCACATTTTCAAGTTTCATGTCTCGTGGTTTGGTGAAATTCTGACACATGATCGTGCAACCTTCTGGGCGCTCTGTGCGAGTCAGATCGCTCTCGGGGTGGGGCGGTGCTCATGTTGATGTCGCTCGCGCAACCCTCTCGTCACTTTGAGCGGCGTGGTGCTGATTCTGTCGAGGAGATCTTGCGAAGAGATCTTGACAAGGAGATCTTTTTCATAGAGACTGCGCAAAGATCTTGAGAAGAGATCTCCCACAGGGCTCTTGCCAATGGATCTCCCATAGATACCTTGTACAAGGATCTTGTATCAAGATCTCTTACAAAGATCTTGCCAAGGGATCTCTTATAGAGAGCTTGTACAAAGATCTTGCAAAAAGACCTCTTCAAGAGATCTTGTACAGAGGCCTGACGTAGAGATCTCTCGCAGAGATTGTGCCAAGAGGTCTCTTACAGAGATCTTGCTAAGAGATTTCCTATAGAGAGCTTGCACAGAGATCTTAGAGATCTCTTGCAGGGATCTTGCGCGGAGATCTCTTGTAGAGACTTTGTTGTACAGAGATCTTGCATAGAGATATCTTACAGAGGGCTTGTGCAGATCTTCTACAGTGATTTTGCCAAGAGGTCTCTCTTGGAGAGAGATCTTGCCACGAGATGCTTTCTTGTAAAACGCAGCATGTCTGCTTGTCCAGGAAAAACAATTTGTACGCAGAAGAAGTTTATCAGAAGTTTCAGTCCAACATAGGTGCAACATAGCCTGAAGCCCCCGATATCTACACCTAACGCGGCACAGCAAACATGACACAGCGATACAGGGCGCCCGGTATAGAGTCGCCACATATGAAAGATGCACTGCATCCGCGGCTTAGGCGACAAGACCATTGGCGGTGGAGATGACGCTTTCAACACGTTACTCTGCTGCCATGAGTCTATTCTCAGACTTGCCTAAACTTCAACCCGTGGGCGGGTTTGACAGCAATCATCAGCAATTGCAGCATGTCATATTTGCATATATTTGCACCTACAAATGCTGAGGTTCTTCTCAGAGACTGGTGCTGGAAAACACGTGCCTCGGTGTGTGATGGTGGACTTGGAGCCTTGGCAGCAGTGGAGCCGCAGCCCCACCGCCGGCACAAGGTCTGGTTTACTTAGTTAACCACAGTTTTCAAGAAATCGGCGCATGCCCATGCCAGCATGAAGGGACAAAGACACTAGTGACGAAATGCGCGACTGATGGATTGTCGTTCCAAAGCTTCCGGGATGTCTAGGAGGATGCGGCCTTGTGGAAAACAGTTTTTTCACCTGAATTGCGGTTGAGGTTCGCGGATACGCCAAGTGGTCCCCCACCCCTTTTTTGCTGATGAAACAAACAACAACTACAAGTACAAGTACAAGTACAAGTACAAGTACAAGTACAAGTACAACAACAACAACAGCCACAACGACAACAACAACAACAACAACAGCAAGAACAAGAACAAGAACAAGAACACCAACACCAGCAACAGCAAGAGCAAGAGCAACAGCAACAGCAACAGCAGCAACAGCAACAGCAACAGCAACAGCAACCACAACAACCACCACAACCACCACAACCACCACAACCACCACCACAACCACAACCACAAACAACACCACCAACACCACCACAACCACAAACAACACCACCAACACCACCACAACCACAACCACAACAACAACAACAGTAACAAGAACAGTACCAACAACAATAACACCAACACCAACACCATGTATATAATACACATCTTTTTCTTCACATTTACATTTGCATTTGCATCTGCATTTTATACCACCACCACCAACAACAACACCAACACCAACACCAACACCCAACAACAACAACAACAACGACGACGACGACAACGACGACAACGACAACGACAACGACAACGACAACGACAACGACAACCACAACCACAACCACAACAACAACAACACCAACACCAACACCAACACCAACACCAACACCAACACCACCACCACCAACAACAACAACAACGACGACGACGACGACGATGACGACGACGACGACGACGACGACAACAACATGTATATAATGCATTTATATATTTTTACATTTACATTTGCGTTTGCATTTGTGTTTGCATTTAACAACAACAATAACACCAACATCAACACCACAATCATCATCAACGTTCAACAGAAACAACAACATTTTTTTTAAAGGCAATTTTGACGACAACAACGAAAATCACAACAACAACACCTTTCTTAAACAACAATAGCAGCAACAACAACACAACGACAATGACGGGGTCATGGCGACGACGACGGCGACGCCTTCACCACCGACGCTGAACGACAAAGACGACATCAACACCCGAAACCACCACAACACCACGACAGCAAAAACAACAGTGCAAACTTATCGAGTGAACTTCCGATTGTGACGCAGCACCATATTTGTGATTATTTGTGGACCAAACCTGCGTCTAATCCAGCAGTCCGATGCTCACAGGAACCTACGGTGGTTGACGAGGTGCGCACAGGCACATACCGCCAGCTCTTCCATCCGGAACAATTGATTTCTGGAAAAGAGGACGCGGCCAACAACTTTGCACGAGGTGATTTGACTTGCAAAATTTCTTCCAGTTTGCATGCGTCGGCATATTTTACAGAATGTAATTATGTACCTTGCACATTCCTTGCACTGTTTTCCTGCCTGACATGCAAGGTTCAGGCACTTTTCATTGCGCTTGACGGTTGCTGTTTGAAACTGCCAGCAACACATTTCTACAACAAGTTTGCACGAGGTCACTACACCATTGGCAAAGAAATTGTGGATTTGGTTTTGGACAGGATTCGCAAACTCGCGGACAACTGCACAGGAAACCCAGACTGAATTCATTTTTTTGTGTTCGATTAATTATTAAATAAGTATATGTATATATGTAATATACACATATGCCTTTATAATTGTATATCTATATTTACTTGTAATTGTAAGTGTGTGTGTATACATATATATGTATATATATATATGTATATATATATACAGAACTTGGATGAATTTGGCACATATATTTACAATATATATATATATATATTAATTGTGTGTGTTTTCATCATAACACCTCAATTTGTGGCGCATAGCTGAGGATTGCAGGGTTTCTGTGTGTACAATGCCTGCGGTGGTGGCACCGGTTCTGGTTTGGGCTGCCTGATGTTGGAACGTTTGTCGGTCGCTTAGCTGCTCCGCCAACTCATGTTTGCAGCACTCGCAACTTATGTGCTGCAACTCATGCCGCTGCATGTTTGGAAGGGAGGGAACAGATGTGTTTCATGTCGCTGCTTGTTTTTGCAACAATTTGGAAGTAATAAATGCATAGGAATATTTGTTCATATCAGCATCTGCTGCAACTTGAGTCGCATGCTCATGTTTTTTCCCCACCTGCCAGGTGAGGGTTGTTAGATTTTATCAGAGCTGTTCTTCTCCTCCTCGCTAGCTGTCCTCCACTGCCTCCTCCTCCTCCGCCTTCTCCTCGTCCTCCTCCACTTCCATGTCCACTTCCGCCTTGCCAACTCTTCGCCAAGCTCTTTGCCAACTTCCCAGCTCAGTGTGCACCGCTGGACCTCAACCTGCGAGCTGCCCAGCTCAGTGTGCACAGAATGCCAGAAGGTATGCCAGATAGAATGTTAGATAAAATGTCAAATAGAATGCCAGAAGATATGCCAGATAAAGTGCCAGAATGTTTGCCAGATAGAATGCCAGAAGATTTGCCAAATAATATGCCAGAAGGTATGCCAGATAGAATGTTAGATAAAATGTCAAATAGAATGCCAGAAGATATGTCACAACATATGCCAGAAGATATGCCAGGTACAATGCCAGATAGAATGCCAGATAGAATGCCAGAAGGTATGCCAGATAAAGTGCCAGAATGTTTGCCAGATAGAATGCCAGAAGATTTGCCAAATAATATGCCAGAAGATATGCCAGATAGAATGCCAGATAGAATGCCAGAAGGTATGCCAGATAAAGTGCCAGAATGTTTGCCAGATAGAATGCCAGAAGATTTGCCAAATAATATGCCAGAAGATATGCCAGATAGAATGCCAGATAGAATGCCAGAAGATATGCCAGGTAGAATGCCAGAAGATATGCCAGATAGAATGCCAGAAGGTGTGCCAGATAGAATGCCAGATAAAATGTCAGATAGAATGCCAGAAGATTTGCCAGTAACAAAATGTATAAATGTCATGGTGGGGATCACACGAAGTAAAGTAATTTTTTAATCGCGGAAACACATCCACATGATAGGAGCGGATTCTCGTGCTAGATGCTGTCCCCATCACCATAAATGCATTCACTCTTGTTTTAAAATGCCTCCGCAGGGGTACCTAGAAACACAAGGCAACCTTAAAACAAGTATCAGAAAAATGCATCCAACCACATCTTCCTTTGTGGCCTCGCAGTAACCTGGAACTTTAGCGGACGTTTTTTTCTTTAGTTTCTCTTTGTTAGTGGATATACATGTATTAGAATTTTATCACCCCCCCCGCGTTGCGAGCTTGTCTGCAACGGTACGTTGTGCGTGCTGGAGCTGTTGAGGTCGGTCGATTACGGCAAAAAGAGCAAGATCTCCTTCACCGTGTGGTGCTGCCCACAGGTTGCCACGGCTGTGGTCGAACCCTACAACACGGTTCTTGTCATGAATTTTATGTCAGATTTTCGTCCGCTTTTGAAAAGGATGGTCTAGCGTCAGCATGTTGGTTTGTTGAACATGTATACATTTGTTTTTATGTGGATGTCCTGGTATAGTCGTTTCAAATTTATTACACATGTATCGTACATAATAATTGAATTTGGCAAACAAGGTGTTGTGTGTGCATTCGTTGTTGGAGCACACCGACGTGACCATCATGTACGATAACGAAGCACTCTACGATATTTGTCGCCGCAACCTGGACATCGAACGACCAACCTACACCAATTTGAACCGACTGATCGCCCAGATCATTTCGAGTTTGACTGCTTCTCTCCGCAGCTTGTCTGTTCCATGAATCAATCGGTTTATAATCTATATTTGCAATGTAGATTTGTCTCGGGTGGCCAAGCAGTGTGTACTAGCACCATGAAACAACCAGGTTTCGATGGCGCCTTGAACGTTGACATCACTGAGTGCCTTGGATTTGCTTGTGTTTTTCTTGCTGCAGCACGCTGTAACACACAGACATGGGAAAAAAACACTGGAAAAACAAGGGATCAAAACCCAGCAAGGTTCCAGACAAATTTGGTGCCTTATCCGCGCATCCACTTCATGTTGACCTCCTATGCTCCGGTCATCTCTGCGGAGAAGGCCTACCACGAGCAGCTCTCTGTGGCAGAGATCACCATGTCTGTCTTCGAGCCGGCCTCGATGATGGTGAAGTGCGATCCACGTCATGGAAGCTGGGTTGATCAAAAAACATATCTTTAAAACTCAAAAATTGATGATATTGAACAGGACAAGGACAGCTATCCAGGCTATCCATATCCATCGAAACATTTTTCCATTTTGTTTCACTTTTTTGGAGTTTCATGATGAGTTTCATGGTGGGATTTGCCAAGACTCGCGAAGAAGCCGACACTAGGAAAGTACATGGCCTGCTGCATGATGTACCGTGGCAACTTGGCAATGGCGATGAGTGCGATTTTTTTTATCCCTTCCAATAAGCCACACCCCCCTATAAAACAAGTAGTTATCATTGTTATCATTAATTTCCCTGGGTTTCATTGTTTGAGGGGTTTGTATAGTGCTATATTAATTTGTTCTTATAACTACTTATTTTTGGGATTGCACACGTGTTTCGGACGCTTTATCATGGTTTGGGGGATAGGATTGCTGCTGTGGGAGGTTCAGGATGATAATCGATACAACAGTGTTTTTTTTGAGTATCCAGTCAAACTGCTAGGATCAAGAAGACGACCTTGTACATTCGGAATGTTGCCCGCTAGGCACCCCAGTAGAAAGCTTGGAATATGGACGGGGTTTGGAGAGCTGTCTGAGAGTTCGTACATTCACATCACATTTTAAGCACGAAAACAAGTTTATTCAGGGCGCGATCATGGGCTCCAGCGCGCCCCAAATAGACAGAACATGTAATTCATTGCCTTGAAATGACTTGATCAACCAGCACAGTTTAAAATTAAAAAATCGGTTTGGGCCAATCATAAGTTGACATAAATCAACCGCACGGACATCCCCTATCATTAGTGGGCGAGGAACCCGTTGTATACGATTTACTGCTGAGGAGATGTGGTGCCAAAGGATGTGAACGCGGCAGTGGCCACCATCAAGACCAAGCGCACGATCCAGTTCGTGGATTGGTGCCCCACTGGCTTCAAGTGCGGCATTAACTATCAACCACCCACTGTCTCCTGGCTTTGCTGAGTGATTTTCTCCATTATCCTAATCGGAAATAGCGCTAAAATCCACTGTTTTATCAATGTTTATCATACATTTTACCATTTGACTACCCTGCATTTTTTTCCTTTTCAGACACACTCAGACTTGGAAAATCACTGACACTGGTCTGGCAAGGGGCACAGGGGCACTGGCAAATCTCAGGTGGTTCCTGGAGGAGATTTGGCCAAGGTGATGCGTGCTTGCTGCATGATCTCCAACTCTACCGTGGCTTGAAGTCAGATCTTGGCCAAAGGTGCTACACTGATGATTTATATATATATATATATACAGTTTAATATAGTTACTAAATTAAACAAATAATGTAGAGTTTAGCAAAATCCAATCCTAAAATATGCTGGCAAAGAATTTTATAAGTCCATTTTTGGGTGTTTCTATGGTGAATTTCCCTCGCAACGCGACGCAACGCTGAACGATAGCTCAACGACTTGACCAGTGGAGTGGAGTGGAGCAAGGGGTATCCATCTTCCTTATTCATCCCTGTGAAATATGGAGCCAAGAAGCGATACTGTGGATGGGCCAGCGAAATCCGACCAGTTCATAGGTGGTAAACATCATGGTAAACATCCCATTGTTTTCTTTGGCTTTCTACCATCCTGGTGGTGATTCGGATTTCGCAACCATCCACAGTATGTTGATTGATGTTGATTCTGTATCTACTTCCAGGGATTGAGGTCGTTGGAGGTCATCAGCCAAGGCCATCGCAGAGGTCTTCTCTCGCATTGATCACAAGTTTGACCTCATGCCACTTGGACACAGTATGGATATGTATAGATAATATGTATATATATATAATAAGCCTAAAACGAACTAATAACAAGATAGAAAAGTCAGTAAGTTATGACTATATTCGTAGAATTTCACTTTTCTATCTTTGAGGGAATTACTATAGAATCCCCGCTTTCTTCCGCTTGGCTTTGGTGGTTGGCATCCCCATATTTCTGCACAGAATGGTGGTTGAAGCCCCACTTGTGCTGGTACATGCGATCATTATATATTATATATATATTATATATATATACATTATACATATGTATACATAATTGTATATCTATAAAAATCATATATACACATATATGTATATATATATAAATACATATATATATATAAATACATATATATATATATATAAATACATATATATATATATTTATATATATAAATACATATATATATATATACATATATACACATTATATATATATATACATATGCAAATTCACATCAACCATCATTCCATCAGATTCCATCATTCACCTGTGCTCAACACAAAGCCTGCCTCTAAGGTATAGCAAAAGAGCCTTTGTGCACCACTATGTCGGCGAGGGCATGGAAGAGGGCGAGTTCTCCGAAGCACGTGAGGATTTGGCGGCGCTCGAGACCTCTGGTTGGAGTAGTCGCGGACAACCTGGTTTTCCCGAAATGGGACAGTGGTTTAATTCTTATCCAAGATGGCTTGAGTGACTAAAAATGATGGGAAAATATGGGACAATTTAGTGGATCATCATTTTCCCCGATTCTAAATGGTATTCTTAAGATATATATATATATATAATGTTTAAAAATACATCTCAATAGCTCATTTCCAGACACACACACACAGATGGGCCTGGAAGGTCAGCCACTGTAGTTGTGATTTCCTAGTTTTGAAGCAATTAGTTTGCACCGAGCTGTAGGTTGAAAGCATGGTTTTTCAGACTTACACATGGCTAAAAGTAATACCATGGCTGAGACTTTGGGTGGAACCAGGATAACAAGGTTATAGATTGTAGTGTTTTTCTTGAAACATATCAGTTATCAAATTGCCAGAAGGATGCTTTTTCCATGGCCTTGAAGATGCTCGTGATGAATATCCGTCCATCGCACTTCGACCTGAGGAAAGACTATGAAGAGGTTGGCATCGAGACAGCCGAAGGCGGGCTACACATATATTGAATACACGTGTATATATATATATATCTATATATGTATGTATATTATACACATGTCACATACATACTTACATAAGTTAGATTTCCTTTTGCAAGATAGCATCTTGTTTGGCTTTCTAATTGTTCTTCACATCATTTTTGTGCCGCGGGCGCTCTTCATAATAAGGTGAAGGCGAAGAAGAAGGCTATGGAGACGAATTCTAAGTCTTTGACAACATCCAGCGACATCTTGTGATGCAGTCAGGAACGTGGGAGGGTCGCGCAAACATGGTACAATATTGCACGTGCGACTGTTTCATGCAGCTGTGCTGTTTTCACTGAGACAAAAAATGCGCTGGAAAGAGGGGAATTGGGATTTGGATGGATGTGCAGACATGTTCATGACAGCTTCATGTTTCGGAACTTTCATGTGAAGCTGAAGCCTCAGAAGTTCCAGAACATCTTTCAAGCAAACACTGTTGTTTACCCTCATTGAATGTAGTTTTCATTCATATTGCGCATTTGTTTGCAGTTGATATGTATTCGTATGTGTGTACATATATATGTATATATATATGCGCATACTTACACAGTTGAAGATGTGATACAACTACTCTACACACTTATATATATATACACGTGTATACGTATATATATATATATACAACCATAATATACATTACTTTCTCTGCTTAAGATTGAACTTCTACATACCCGCAATATATACATTTCTGTATCATCATCATAGAATGTACCGACGCACGGAGGGGATGTCCTGGTTTTCTTGCCGTCCAGTTTCGTCATATTTCCAGATTAAATCAACATCCCAATTTTCGCTGAGGGTTTTTATACTATGTTGATATGGTGAAAAGTCGTTCCACCATAATTGTATACTATGTTCATACGGTGGAAAACTGGGATGTTGGAGAAAATATATCTGTTTCACCAGTATATGGAGATATTTTTATACATATTTGCAGTTCCAGATAGCCTCTGGTAAACTAACGGTTCACTACGGAAAATCACCATGCTATGAATGGGGATTCATCCACTATTTCGACTGGGCCATGGCTTCCAGATCGCTTTTTGTATGTTTACCAGAGGGTACCCTCTGGTAAATTAACATAGACCCTGTAAATCACCAATTTTTAGAGGAAACTAATCTTCCAACCCCTATCTACCAGGGTCTATGTTAATTTACCAGAGGGTATATATTCTCCAACATCCCAGCTTTCCATGAAATCCCCGGAAGTTTCACCCAGATTCCCTCTCCACGGCTATAGCGGCTACAGGTTATCCTGGCGCCAAGCATCCCTACTCCTGGTGGCGTTCACAGCCTCGGTGGATGCTGCGTGTTTTCACAGTGCCATGGCGCGCTGTCAACAGAATCCTGGCGCTTTCAATGGCGTTTTCAACACGAAAAATGGGGGGAAGCCATTGGGAAATCCTGACATTTGGGGTCTTAAAATGATTTGGATCTCCAAGTCACTGGTCAATACTGAGTCATGGTCATCCATGACGACTGGATGATTTGGGGATACCCCCATGACTTAGGAAGCCTTTGGGAAATGGAGGAAATCTTGATGATTGGTATCTGGATTTGCAGTTTGTCGATGATTGTTGGCTTATTCGTCCAATGGGAAATCCACTACGACTGGGGCATCGATTAATGGCATCTCTTTCATTTTTTTGGTGTTCCTGAAGCAAATCCAAGTTGGCGAAACGTATTTGTCTGTTTCTGGTGAAAACTGGGGGAACAAGCTCCAAGCATCTTTGGCCAAGGCTTTTGACGCTAAACAGCTTCTGTCGTTTTTTTTTTTAAACAACCAAACACATTTTTTTGGTGGGAATGGGATGTACTGTAGCCACCGATGTGATACTTGAAGATTATGATAGACTGTGGGACTTTGGGGCACCCTATTTTCAAGCAAACCTACATGGGGATGGGTCAAAACCAGTTTTTTTTTCTTGGGGGGGTCTAGACACTCATGATTTTGCATCCATTCTCTTCATTTTTGGGATGTGAACAGCTTAGCATCTGGGATTTGAATGCATTCCCAAATACATGCAAAATGGACCATCGATGAAGCACCTCAAGTAAACAAACATGGCTGCCGACAAATCCCCATTTTAGTAGGGACAAATCAGACGAGGATATGATGACCAGCAATTTCCTGAATGATATATTAACCAACAATGATGTGACTTCAACCAATGATGGATCATATATCAACCAACAATGGATGGATATCACTGAGTATGATGGCACATAGCGGATCTGAGCGAATAGGCTATTGACCACTTAGGGGGTGCATCTAAATTAACAAGTTGTTAATAACTCATAACCCATATGTTAATTTTGTATATATATATATATGATACGTATATTATCCCACACATAATTGGGTTGTAATACGGTTATTCATTACTGACTTTCCAACTGGGATACACATCCGGGTATAGATCTGAATCCAGTCGTAAAAAACCAGCCGAAAAACCCGCTGGTTTGAGGGTTGGCGAATGGCCGATGGCCCTCAACTTCTTCCAGAGCATCCTTTCCACTACACAGCCCAACATTATCAGCTACAACAGCGCCATGGTTGCCATGGAGGTCTCGAAAAAAATGGGAGTATGGAAGTCTTGGCCCATTGAAATAGATGATTTACCCATGACATTTTGCGATTTTCCATGGCCATGTTAGTTAGATTACCAGACCCCAAAAAAGGGATGGTTGAATAGCCAATATCATCATTTTTTGGGATGATTTTGGGTGCAGCAACCCAGGCACGGTCAGCGCATGCTGTTCCTGGCGCTGGGCCACTCACTCACTTGGAGAAGTGCGCCTGTGCCCCTGACTGTCATGCCGTTGAAGGATTCTCTGGTCAACCGTCAACAGGTATCGCCAAACAAACATGTAGCAGACCAAGTTTTTTTTTGGGACAATTTCTATATCAAGTTCCATATCAGTGCTGAAGCTGCTCTTTTTGGTTGAGCCAAACCCTGGATGCAACCCGTCTGAAACTCTCACCGTCAGCGAGCACCGCACAGGCCTTTGGACTGGGCCTGGAGTGGAGCCTCTATAGCTGGACCAAGCTGTGCCTGGGACGAGGAAAAGAGGTGATGGATGGGGCTTTTGTCAGGGTGAAAATATGTCAAAATGCGGCTTTTGTGAACAAAATGATGGTCCATGGCGAGTCCATTATTGGGAATGCTTTGTTGATCTTGGTTGGGAATGCTCCCAGACAACCATCTATTCCAACTGTAAAACAAAAAACAAGCTAACCTTTGAAAGCCCTCGAAACCCTCCGGTTGTCATACAGCTTCTGCATAGTTTCACTATGATACGGTGTCACCCAGGATCACAGTGACAGCAGCACATCGCGGGTGGCAGAGTGCCGAGGGTTTGTTGGCCAAAATGACCCAGGACGCCGCGTGGCCCCCAAAGTTGGCTGCGGTGCTCCAAAAATTGGCGACCGGAACCGACCATTAGCAAAGTTAGTTTATAACTCCAATCAGTTGGGAAAATGGTATATATGTATGATATATGTATGATATATATATATAAATAAATACTTAAGGGGGGTTACAAACCAACTCAGAACTGGGGGGGCACCACATTGTGGCAATATTTTCGATGATCCTCCAGCCATCTCCAAGCTATCTTTGTGGCTTTCAGGTGAAATTTCGAGGGATCAAAATTTCGAGAAAAAAAGGATTCAAGAGTTTCATGTTTCTCTGCCACAGCCATGTTTGCTTCGACAGGTTTGTTTGCTTCAGAACTGACCATTTCTGAAATGTGCTGATCCACCTCCAGACTACCAAGTACTGTAGTGTTTTCTCATGTTTTCTCTAGAGCCATTGGGTCCATTGTTTCAGGTCTATGGGGGAATGATTCCCTAGGTCGTAGCTATAGTGAAGTGATTCAATGCACTAACGAAGATTCGTTCTGAACACACTGGTAGGAACTTACCAGACAAGATTTAGTCAGGAACTCAATTGCCTGATAATCAGCTGAAACTGGTAGGAATTGATAGGACAAGCAGCTGAAACTCATCATCTTCCAATCAGCTGATAATCATCTTCCAATCAATTTCCCATCTGCCCCACGTGATTCTCAGCTCTTTTTTCCTATCAATTTCCAGCAATAAAACAGCCTTCAGCAGCCGAAAAAATCAGGGCAATTTCTACGCCAGGAGTCCGTTCTTCCCAGCATCATGTGCTTCACTTACGTCCGAGCCTGGGCTTGGGGATGGGACTTTGGACAGGACTTGGAGGTGGCACGTGGCTGGAACATCCAGCGACTTGAAAGTTTGATGATTTTCCCATGAACACCTGAAAATTTGTAGATTTTTCCAAGGGATTTCCATGGATTTCCCAAGTTTTGATATGAAGCTCCCAACATCCACTACTTCTTCAAGAAGAAACATGTATGGTGCAAGACATGATTTTCCGGCTCCATGTTAGCTCTCAGGGGTTGCAGAGGTGCAGATCATCCAATGTCAATCGTGAGGTTCTGGCCTGGCTGGCTTAACAGGGGGTGATCTCTACCACCTAATCATACAAAAAACATATGAACTCGAAACCAATACGTGTTATTACATGTGGATATATTAGATTACATTATATATATTATATTATATTATATTATATTATGTTATGTTATGTTATGTTATATTATATATTATATATTATATATTATATATTATATATTATATATTATATATTATATATTATATATAAATTATATTATATTATATATTATATATTATATTATATATTATATTATATATTATATATTATATATTGTATATTATATAATATGTAATATGTAATATGTAATATGTGATATGTGATATATGCTGAATGTACATACAAATGTATGAATATCAACATATCTATACATATTCTGTATATGGTCTGCTCTCCAAATTTGTTGACGACTTTTTCACAGGTTTTTAGTTGATTTTCTTGGCCTTCCGAGTTTTCCAACGGTTGATCGATTGCATCCCGACTTGCGTGTTTCTGTCCTGGTTGAAAAGAGTATGTCAGTTACATCCCAGATTATAACCCTCATAGAATTGGATGATGGGAAAATTTACAGGAAACCCCTATATTTGATGGTAAAAACCATGGTTTCCTGTAGATTTTCCCTTAAACCAATCCATTGAAACCCCATTCGTAACCCCGTTCTTTGTGTTGATCTCATTTCTAAACCTCTAGGTCTTCCTGATGAGTTCCCCCAGGTGCAGCCATGGAGACAGGCTCTCAAGTGGATGAGGTGAAGCTGCGCTGTTGGGGCTAAGCGGCTAACCACTGGATGTCCATGTTTGAATGGCTGTAGAAGCCACACGAATAGGTCAAGTGGTGAAATGGGTATGGATCAATACCTATACATACCATTTTTAGGGGGATGAACATCCATAAATCCCAGCTATTTTGATGTTCACCAGGGGTACAAGGTTTTGACACACTGCCAAGTGGTGAGATAAATTTATCTGAAATAGTGAAAGACAAACTTAAAGAATTGCTTGCCGATTCCGGACAGACTTTTTGCGGGTATAGATTGGCCCATGACTAGCTGCTGGCGCCCATGTACCCGTTTGTTTTGATTAAGTCTTGATGATATCAGTGATATCACAGAGATGCATAAAGTGGGAATCCCCGAGATATGCCACCATTTTTTCCATTTGCCAGCCAAAACGCCTCCTTGTTTGGTTGGTACATGGGGTAAATATGGATTCTTACCAGCAATTTTGGGATATCAAGAATTGGAGGATAGCAACTGATTTGCCGATCACGGCCATGCGATCCTTTGTGCTGGTACTGACAATTACTGTAATAGCATTTGTGCGCTAGGTGGTCTCAACGACGAACTCTAAACCATATCCGTCCCAGTCGGTAGGTGATGAAATGCAACGATTGATGACTGTGCTTGAAACCGGGTATACACTGTCAATTTTGATTTGATGTTTTTCAATGTTTTTCCTAATCGCTGTGGACACATGTGGCATGCACAACCATACACTGGTGCAGCCAGAGCTATATTTGAGTAGCCAATGACATGGGGACTGGGACAGAAGCAAGCAATGTTTGGGTCATTGTTCATGTCACAAACCGGATCAAACATGAAACTATGAACCACGGGTACTTGAACGACCTGGGCAAACTTGGACACTATCATATATTATATGGAGGTTTCCTGAAATAGGGGTACCCCCAGTTCTCATCCTAATTTTAATAGGATTTTCCATGTTTCATAAACCATCCAGCGATATATTGGGGTACCCCCATGACTTAGGACCCCCCCATGTAGTTTTTATTGAGAACAGAATCAACCAAAGAGTAGCATCAGCGGTGGATATCAAGAGCAGGAATGGGCGTTTTTTTCCCCATTTCCGAAGTGGCCGCACGGGAAAAAAGTCAGAAAAATGCTACCAACTGGGGCATTGAGCTACGGTGGCTATTACCCAAGCAACATTCTGCCCCCAACGGATGTGCCATTTCTGTGACCATTTCTATCCATTGGTCACCTTTCTGGGCCATCTTCGTCTTATCATTTTGCGTCCATCCTGCTATGGGTTGCACCATAAATGCATCAGAAAAACAAAGCCAGGGTAAACTGCTGCCATATTTAAGGTTAGGGGGAATGGACTGGATTATTCAGGCATAGCCACATATCATGTTACATAGGTTTGATATATCCCCCTTGATATCCCAACGAAGAGGTTATATATTTACAATAATGACCATTTGATGGAACTTTATAGAGTATGTAGTTAATAGACAGTAGTTGGTAGTAAGTAGCCAGCAGTTAGTAGTCAGAAGTGGGTAGCGAGGAATTGAGCAGTGAGTAGTCAGTAGCCAGTAGCTAGTGGGTAGTATGGGACTATTGGAATTTCCTGTGCTTCATAATTTACACATGACTGGCCTTATACATCATACTCTATCCCTATATATTCCATATCAACCATTTCCCCATCAGAATTCTCCCTATATTTAATATCTCCCCATATATCCCCATATTTTTCAATATTCTTCCCATATTTTTCCATCATATTCCCATCCCAGAAATCCCATCCTGCGCTCCAGGCGGAGCCGCCTGGATGTAACTTTCCAGGGCATGGTAGCTGCGAGCTGTGCAGAGGCGTCGCCGTCTCGATGCGAGCTGTCCAGCTTTTTATCGAGCCCTTGGTCTGGGAATTTCTTGCTATTCATAATTGTTCAGTTGGGATTGCTAATGGGATGTCCAAACTTGAAACATCTTGAAACCTTGGGAAAATTGAACACATGTCCAAAAGTACAGTAGGATTTAGTGATTTGACTAGAATTTGACTTGGGATTTAGTGATTTGTCCTGGGAAAATAACTGCATCTTTTTTGGGAACACAGATATACTAGAGAAAACCAGCTATTGGTGATTTGTTTGGGAAAATTGGATTTAACTTGAGTTGATAATGGGATGATAATGGGAAGAAAACAGTTAACGAATAACACCACCAACTATTACTTGGGAACATAGGGACAAAACTTGGTATTGAGCCAATTCATAGGAATCATTCATGGGAAAATGGGATGATTGTGGGATGATGATGGGATGATTATGTCCAGCTTTGGGGAACATGACCTCGTTTCTTCCTGCTATTTCGATTTTTTTTTGTTTTTTTGGATTTTGGGTCCTTTCTGTTTCAGAAGTTAAGCAGCGAGTTTTTGGATCCTGCGGGTTTGGTACTGAGATCTTTGAGTATAGAGGACCCACGGTTCGTGTCGCCGATTTGACGCTGGGACCACGACTTTGAGCCGTAAACAGTAGCAGTTCTGCCAGGTAAACATGGTAGCCAGGTAGGGTTGCAATCCAAAGTGTTGGTTGATGACACTAGTGAGCACTTGGCCATATATATATATATACAGTATACATATATATATATATACACAGTATACATATATATATATGTATATATATGTATATATATATATATATATATATGTCATGGTCAACAGAATAGTGGTTGACCGTTCGTTCATAAGATGGGAACTTGATCGTGGTGTAGAGGTGTGTCTGCTTGTTTTTGCATTTTTCTAACATGAAACAGCCTCCATTAACCATGGTTTAGTAGGAGATTCAGAGTTTTTTAGAGGGACCATGAAGCATGTGGCTGTGAAAAATCATCGGAACTAGTTGGTGATTTGTGGAGCCTACGTCCTGGATCCTCATCCCAAAATGGAACGGCTTGAGACACCCAGGATTGGTTCAGCCAAAGGGAACACACTGCGATCCGAGGGCCCCCTGATAGCCCTACATCTTCGTCAGCGAAGTCAAAGCATTTGCAAAGGATTCTGGATTTTTATGGATTTTTGATGATCAATCATCTGTCTTCGAGGCCTCGCGGCCTCTTTTGCTTTGTCTACCATCCATGGACGGGGTGATTTGGAATCCCCGAAGTGGATCTAAGTGGCAGGTTTTTTTACGCATGGTAAGCCATGCTTAGGAGTATCCTGGGTTATGAATGTGGGTGTGTGGTGGGTGCCGAGTTCCTGCGGATAATCACGAAATAGCAAGGCCTGCCATGTCAGAGCGGGCAGTTCTCACATATCAAACCGCTGGAAGGCCGCAAATTGTCATTCCTCCAGTCCATGCTACAGCTGCCAACATAGCAAGCGATCAACTGAGCAGTGTTTGAACCCCCCAGGAGTTTCAATACATTACATACGGGGGTGGTTGACGTAGGCCGAAAATCGAAAATGGGTGAATGACCCATTGTGAGGTCTGCTCTTCCATGCAATAGTCATCGCTGACTCATCGCATGTGTTTTCCTTTGCCGAGCAACATTAGTTCTTGGCTATGAGACTTGCACAGGATCATGTGTTGCTGGAAACGCAGACGTTTGGAATGACAAGCGACTGCGATGTGATCAGTGTGTTGCCCATTTGATGGGGTGGTTTGGTGAAACTTGTCGCGTGCCGGCGGAAACATCGCAGCCACATAACAGGGCAATGCTGGCGCTTTCGCCCGGAGGGCCCGAAAAGTTGGCAGGTGCTGCGCCCATTTTACGCAAGCATTGGCGCGTGCTTAGTTTGAACTCCGCGTTTGGGAACGCGGCAAAGTAGGTGATGCTTTGTTGAGGATGTTTTGTGGTTCTTGGATGTTCTTGGTCTGAGAAGCGGGCGCCAAAGCAGCAACGGCAACGGAATACTTTTCAGTCGACTGTTGTGGCGCGCTGACCTGCTCACCAGTTCAGAACACGCAGGGCAAAGGCAAGGGCCTATATTTAATAAGGGCCGGAGCTTTTCAGCAAAGGGGTTTTCCTGCAACCAAATTTTTCAGCACATGCACGTGCGATCCAAGCAAGATTCCATCGGTGCTGCGTTTTCCGCAGGGTGGCGCGTGGCAAGGCAGTCTGCACTTGGCGCGCGGCGTTGCCAACATGAATTGCGCGGGGGCTGGAGCTCCAAACCATGTGGTTTTAACAGGCCGCGTCTAGTGGGGAAGTGAGCCTGTTTCGTGCATCAAGACCACCTTCCCATGTTCATTTATAAGATTGACGTCGTTTGGTTTTAGGACCCCCAAAATTGAAAGAGGCAAGTTGCATTCATGCAAGATCTCCATGTGGACACATGCAATATGACATGTGAATTTGTGAGCCTTGTGAGTGTTGGGTTGGACAGATGCCCCAACAACCGAGACTGGATTTCCCAAGACTGTTGAGTCACCCAAAAAACATGAGATTTTGCTGACGGCCCTGCAGGTGCGGCCCTTGGTGCTTGCGAAAAACGTGGGTTTTGGAGGCGGGTTTCGCGTCAGAGTATGAGCAAACCGCAGGAACTGATGGCGATGACTGTTATCGTGAACGTCATTTGACTATGAGTCTGTATGGCAGTGACAGTGCCTATAGAACAAAACGTTGATTAGATCTTTTCAAAACGATCGTAATAGAGATAATATCATTTGTTTGCAGAATCATGATGATAATACATTTTTTTGTGCGAAGGTAACCCTGTATAAACCCATTTGGTTGATGTCGGCCTGAATCGTGTGCATTAGAATCAGCCATCCGCTGTTGAATGAAACACATAATGATGGATCAATCGGGCTGGGAACTAGAAATTTTTACCACTTTCGACCACGTTCTGGGAACATAGGCGTGCCTTGCAGCTCCTTTCCTTCCCAGAGGCGGACACCATCAGTGTCCCAGCTAGCAAATGGACCCCTGTTGCACAGCTGTGGTTTGTTGTATCTGATTTAGGTGTCATCCAGTAGCCTCAGTTTGGGCATCCAAACTGTAAGAAATGGATGGAAAGTGCGGCCATCAACTGCAGAAAATCACAGGGTGTAATTTATGTGTAATCCTCCTGAAGTTGTGCAATCTTGCACGCCAGTGACGCCAGTTGCACATTACAAGTCACATTTTTTTCGGAGGACATTCCCTGGCAGGAGCTGAAACAGCTCTTCTTCTTGAATGTTGCAGTAAAAATTGGGCCGCAACACCATGTCGTTTGGGGAGCCGTAAACAGGGACCAAAATGTAGCTTGGAGGTTGTACTGTACCAGTGTACCATGACACGTATCCCGTTGTATCATGTTGTATCCAATTTGCTAAAGCGAATTGTAGCCAACATCATCCAACATCTACTCACCCGGTACTTTCTTGATAATCGTTTATTTTGATGGTTGGAACTGAACTGGTGTGGCCTCAACCCGTCTGTCATGAACATCTCCTCCGAGGTATCGGTGCTGCCATGGGTGCATGCGCACGGGCACAGCGGTGATGCAGCGATGGGACCTTGAAAAACAGCACTGGGTTTTGCTTCACAGCTTGAAACATATGGAAGAATAGCCTGGTTGGTGGTGACTGGAACATGGCTGGATTATGACTTTCCATAAACAGTTGGGAATGTCATTTTATCCCAACTGACGAACTCCATCATTTTTTTCAGAGGGGTAGGGCTCAACCACCAACCAGTAGCCATAGGAAATCACGTGCATTTTGAATAGGCAAATCATCATGGCCATGGTAAATTATCGAACGACCAATGGGCCATCTTTTCCAGTTCGCTATGTGAAAAATCACCCGAGGGGGCTCCATTTGACCATTGGCTGTCCTAAGTCCTAAAATACATAGAAAAAGGTCCATTTCCGGACAGCGGACAGGATCCACTGATCCACTAAGATTCCTGTGACAAATTTCACGACTGAGTCCCAAAGGCCATCGAAAAGAACTTACTCACAATGATTGCCGTTCCGGTTTCTGCTCTGAAAGACAACATTTTTGAGGACTGATCACAAAAGAATCATATTCTGGGTTTTCTGAACATGGGCTATCCAATAATTTGATGGTTCCCTGTCGAAGTGGCAATTTTCAACCCGATGTTCAAATCCCCTTGGTGTGTTTGCGATAGAATTTCAATGGTCATCCAGTGAGGATACACCAAGGATATCCACTTTAAAAATCTTTAAAATATCTTTAAAGATCTTTGAAGTACGTACTTAGTGTGGATATAGTGAGATGTAATGAGATGCAGCCAAGAATGATTAAAAACCAAGAATGTAATTTAGGTTGATCAAAAATGCGTGGATACTCACAATGTACGACAATCTGAATGGGAAACATGAAAACCATGAGATGAGTTGAGGCACGCTATTTTCATAAACAAACCAGGGAAGATCTCAGTGAAATACAGCGATCCAGATAGCCAGAGATCCGGATGTGGGTAGCGAGAATCCGGAACGGAAAGATATGTGAGCGTCTGAAACAGAATCCACTCTGTTTAGTTCTTGGGATGAAAAAATGGAGCGCTTTTGGGGTCCAAAAATTCTTGCGATGCTTCTACATAGATGCGGACATTTGATTGAGAAACAGGCCATGCACACGCAGGTACTGAGGACTTGAATGCACTCGAATCATGACTGGTAAATTGGCCATTTTTGGGGGGTTCCATAGTCATGGGGATACCTCAATAGCTGGATGGTTTATTTCATGGAAAATCCGATGAAAATGGATGATGACTGGGGGTACCTCCCATGACTTAGGAAACCTCCAGTAATCACCTATTTTTTTTGATTCTACAAACATGTCACTATTTCTATGGCCCATATGGCGCATGTTTGTTGATGATTTCTCAGTCAAACCTAGTCCCAGCCAGGTTTAGCATATGGCACTTGACTGATCGGTAGAGGTCCAAGACATCCAAGACATCCAGTGGCCGTTGACTGGCATTGGATGATTGGTGGGTTACCTTGCGACACCAAAAGAGCTCGGCGATCATTTAAAGGGGAGAGTGTGGGGTCCAGACATGACAGGGGACAAAAGTTATCAACAGCTGGTTGTAGGAGTGATAGCATATTTCTGTTCTTGCTTCATAATTTCCAATGATTTGATTGGAGGATTATGATTATTATTTTTATTGTTGTTATTTGTTATTATTTGTTATTATTTGTTATTATTTGTTATTGTTTGTTATTATTTGTTATTTTTGTCATTTTGTTGTTATTATTTGTTATATTTTGTTATTATTTGTTATTATTTGTTATAATTTGTTACTATTTGTTATTACTTGTTATTCTTGCTATTGTTGTTGTTTTGACGATGACTTGTAACTTCCTGGCTTCTTACCCATACCCCAATGGTCACCCGTGCGACCGGATGTTGAGTTCGGTGCTGTCGCGACTTCGATAGCAATCTGTCCAGATACTCCAGGTACTTGTGAAACTTTTACTGGTTGGTGGTGACTGGAACATGGCTGGATTATGACTTTCCAGAAACACTTGGGAATGTGATTTTATCCCAACTGACTATATAACTCCATCATTTTTCAGAGGGGTAGGTTGAAACCACCAACCAGATAGTTATTAACCATCATTAACCATCATTAACCTATAACCATCATTAACCATCATTAACCACCAACCAGTTTAACAAATTTTGGGTGGGAGAGTTGAACGTCTGGTGCCACTTCTTGGCTCAGCTCGTGCCTGCTCTGATACACGAATCGAAGGTGGGACTCTGCTTCGAGGATCATCGATGATCCCTCGAATCGCTAAGTGAAGTGGTTTTCAATGTGAAAAAAAACCGAGTTAGATCTACTTGGATCTCCCGGAAATTTATGGGGGTTACATATCCATAATACAGTTATATATATAATATATAACTGGCGCCAATGCATGTTGTTATTTTCACCAGTTACGAGGACCGTGGGCCACGTGGGATGATCCTCCAAGTGCTCGTGCTATTGGCATTGTTACGATTCTGGTAAGTTTGTGTTGGTCGTTTGGTATTTGATAGACAATTTTTATAGCCACCATAGCGATATTAGTCACAGCTAATAGATGCTAATAGCGAGTGTTGACAATCTGTAACCATCTGAATAGTTGGTACAAAAGTGTTGAATGACAATGGAAGACATTTGATCAATCTGAAGTCCCCCTTTAAAATTCATTTGTGTCACATACCTTATCAAGGGGCTGTTCCGCATACACAGGCGAATGAATCAGTGGGATGGCACCCATAGTGAGGGTATCTTGTTTTCGCCGTTTGATGTTCAATTATATCATGGTGAACTGGGGGAAGCGCATAAACACGCTTCGGACCATGTCGTGAAGGCTTCGGAAAGCGACAGAAATGACAGAACTATCGCTTCGATCTTCTTCAATCCTTCAACATTTGGATAGCTCACATATGCTCACAGTATGGAATCATCATGTGATTCATGTGCCATTGTCAAAAGATAGACTGGATTGACCCATTGATTTTTCTAGTCATCGATCCATTTTCATAGTATGTGGACTAGACCACACATTACCCGAAGGAATCCCATTTTTGGATGGATGACCACAGGGATTTCAAGAGGGATTTCTGACTGTCATATGACAGATTGCGGCAAGGTATATTTTGCGAAACACCCAATGTCGAGGAAACACCAGGAAGTGCAGACCAGTGTCCATCTATCACCTATATCTAAAATATTTCAGGGATTTCGGCACCCAAACTTGAGATAGAGAAACATATTTTTGTCCCAAGAGCTTCAGAGATTTGAATGTCCTCCTTTTTCGGAAATGTTTGCAGGTTGGCACTTAGATTTGCCGTGATGCTTGGTCGCGTGTCCCGCGCTATTCGCCCCCGTCGGGATTCCTACTTGTGCGCTGGGTTGGGTAAGCTCTTCGCAATGCAACCGGCGAAACTAAGTGAAGACCACGGATTCAAAGCAATACAAAGCCGCCAACAATCTGGCGTGCTGCTTAAATTCAAGGATGTTTGTGATGTTCGTGTGCCATTGGAAGAATTGATATATACAGATATAATATGAACCTATAAACTGAACTACTGCAACTACTGTAATGGTGAGAACTGATCAAGTCCAGTTTGTTGATTCCCCGTAGAGTTGACCAGTTGTTGCTCTCGCATCATTTCCGAATCGCTTGGGGACGGCGCCAGTGAAGAGAGGTTTCGAGAAAGTTGGGAATGTCAGAATCCATTAGGGATTAATATTGATTAATATTGATTAATATGGATTAATTATAAACAATCAATCATTTCATCATTTCTCAAGTTGGGAATTCCCTTTTTTGTGCCCAAGAAGTTTGGGATGTTTTTTTTGCCCAACAAAGGCAACAAGGGGGTTGCTCAACGGTGGGTCCCAGGGTCCTGCACTGAGGTTTGGCCAGGCATGTTTCGCAGGTCTTGGCCGAGCCAATGGCATGGAACCAGGCGTTAAAGCGCCTTCCATCCATGTGGCGGTGGAATCTCTGTTTTTACCCTCTGGTAAACATACAAAAAACTATGGAACATCACCATTTTTAATGGGAAAATCCACTATAAATGGTCATTTTCAATAGCTATGTTAAACTACCAGAGGGTAAATGAGAACTTCATCATCTGTTATGTTTAATGCTATAATTTGCTTCTCAACTTCGGAACCTATGGCATTTTTTTTGCCTCGCACCCAGTGTGAGGCACCGGTAGTTGTCACCACTCTGGCCAACGGAGTGAAGGCGCACGACATGAACGGTGATCCCGTGACAAGACGGCCGGATATGACCATGGGAAACCAGTAAGACGATGGGGGGTCCATGGTAGGGGGCTCAAGATTCCACAAAAAAATGGCACACCTTTCCTTTGAGCCGCCAATTTTTGTTTCGCAAAACCGCCCTTGATCCAACTTCGGTAAAATTGGAGATAGTTTATGATTGTGTATGCCGCATGCCCCATGATTAGATTGCGTGTTTGTTGGCTTCTCCACGGCCCTCATGTTCTATTGCCATCCATCGCTGACATCCTGTCGTTCCCCACGCTGTTTTAGAGTGTTGTAGATAAGCCATCACTGGTTGGTGGTTTGGAACATGGCTTTTATTTTGCCATATATTGGGAATGTCATAATCCCAACTGACTTTCATATGTTTCAGAGGGGTTGAAACCACCAAGCAGATCATGATCCAGTTTTAATCAGTTGGGTAGGTGTTGATTGCGAGTCCCTGGTTGAAGCCATTACATCCTGTTTTTGACGGCGACATCCCTATATTCCGGTGACATCCGGTTACTGTTGCTGATCTCCGCCTTCATAAGCTACATGCTTGCATTCTCAGAATCGGATCCTTTGTCAACAACATTCAATAACCATAGTATAATCATGTATAATCCAGGGCCCAAGATACATCAATGGATTATAACCCATTCACTATTGGGATGAAGCCCCAAAAAATGTGATCGCCCGGTGGCACCGGGCGAGCACCGGTGGCACAAAAAGTGCAGTGGATGATCCTTCATCATCCTTTTCCCCCGGTAATTTTTGAGTCATTTTCAGATAGACTCAGATAGACCCAAAAAATCACTCACATTGCTTCATCTTGGTTCTATCCCGTCTCATGAAATATCATATTGAATCATATTATATCAAATTATATCCCCATTCTTATAGCGTTATATCTATTTTATATCTCCCATTCCAAAGGCCGTATGTAAAAAACCTGCCAGCCTTGGAACGAACTGTTTTCACAGGTGGCCACCAAAGAGACCTTTGCTGAGGTACCGGTTTCGGGGTTGTATTTATCGTGGGAGTGGCTGAGTGGCCACCATGACACCCCATTTTTCGCAGTGTTCAAACCATTAAAAAAAGCCTATGTTGGTTGATGATTACAGGGAGTTACAATGGTAAATATGAGAAATTCTATCAAGCAATCAGTGTACAGGGACGACAAAAAGGGTTTTGAACACTGCTCATTTGGTTCATACTAGAACTGGTTGGTGGTTTGGACCATTTTTTATTTTTCCATATATTGGGAACAATAATCCCAACTGACTTTCATATTCTTCAGAGGGGTAGGTATACCACCAAGCAGAGAATCTCTTGTTGCATAACACAATCGTGAGCGAAATACTAGGATCCCAACTTAGACAACTCACTGCGGGTTGACAATGTGGGAAACCTGGAATTCGATTTGGTTCCCGGGAGAGTTGAGAGGAAAGACTATGGTTTTAATAAAACATGCATTTTTTCTGGGTTACCAGAGAGAATTTGATAATTCTTGTAGCTTTGACACAAAGGACTCCAATCTTGGCGGTACATGCCAGCGCCATCGATAGCCTCACCGAAAAATCTCGAGGATCCTGAAAGAAACCGATTTTTTTTGGGGTTGTTTTTCTCAATGGTCATGGACTCAAAATCTGCTAAAAGGGACTGCAAATCCTCCAGATTTAGGACGATTATCCCGGTGAGGAAGAGCTGCCTTCAGAGCCCTGGTAAAATGTGTAATTTTTACAGCAGAAAAGTGAGGGAAAGTTGGTGTTTTTTAATTTCTCGGTTCCAATGTGTTTTTTTCATCAGGAATTGTATGAGCATCAACTATCCGGTTTCATGGTTTGGATCACCAAAACACACCATGGTATGTAATTGATTAAAATAGTGCTTGGTTGATAGTTGATTGATCGGGAGTGTTGCTAGCTGATTTGTTTGGGTTTGTGAACTGACCCAAAGAAGTAGGTCAGTAGGGATGAAAGTGATGAACACTGCTCATGTGAATGTGACACAGGGGTGTAGAAAACATCTTCCCTTCAACGTGAGGCAATTCTGTGGACCTCACCAGTAGTTGCTTGTCGAATCCAAACATCATCAGAACAGCAACTCCTAGCCTCACCAGAATCAGCTCAATGCTTTGTGGTGAAACCGAAGGTGGTTTCGACTTTCCATCCTAAAACACTGTCAAGATGAAGCCTCAGTTGAGCATGTTTTGGGAATGGGCTGAAACTACAGTATGGATCCTGCATCCACAGCTCGCTGAAAATCTGGCTCAAAGCTCTTTCCCTTATGCCCCATTCCACCAGATTTCTGTCACATGAAGATACATGCATGGTTTTCGTTTATCAAAGAGTATGTCAAGTCAAAGTCTGATTTCATTTACGTATTATATTTTTCTTGATTTGATTTTCCATGGATTTTCCATGGATTTTCCATGAATTTTCCATGGGATTTTCCATGAATTTTCGTTCCCTTCTCTCTCTGAGAGTCTCTCTCTCCATTTAGCACCTGAGTTGGCCTTCAGAGCCGCTCCTTGAGGCTGGGATGGGAATGGATGAGGGCCGGTGCAGTTCCAGTTTTAGATGTGTAACTGTAGATATAAGTGGATATATATATATAAATATTATATAAATATATTATAATATATATATAATATGACATATAATATATGACATATAATATATATAATGTATATATATATATATACGCGCAACGCCTGGGCTTTGCCCAGGCGTTGCAGCATAGAGGTTTCCCATTCCCAAACAAATGTTGATGCAATTTCACAAAAATCCTATGGGAAAAACAACAAAGGTACTAGGGAATATTAAACTCCCACCCCCGTTAAACCTTAAATTCCTATGGGAAAAACAGCAAAGGTACTAGGGAATATTAAACTCCCACCCCCGTTAAACTCTACATTCAATTGGGAAGATCAACAAAGGTACTAGGGAATATTAAACTCCCACCACCGTTAAACTTTACATTCAATTGGGAAGATCAACAAAGGTACTAGGTGATATTAAACTCCCACCCCCGTTAAACTTCTACATTCATTGAAGATCTTCAATAAGGGTTTAATTCTCCCACCCCCGTTAAACTTCTACATTCATTGAAGATCCTCAATAAGGGTTTAATTCTCCCACCCTCGTTCAACTTCTACATTCATTGAAGATCTTCAATAGGGGTTTAATTCTCCCACCCCCGTTAAACTTCTACATTCATTGAAGATCTTCAATAAGGGTTTGATTCTAATGATGATGATGATGATGATGATGATGATGATGATGATGATGATGATGATGATGCGTATGCGTCGCCTGTCGTCATTGCGGGTCCGGGCAAAGCCCAGGCATTTGCCGTATATATATAATATACATATATATATATATATCCCAACTTTTGTTGGCTCTTACCATGGTCCCATACAAAGCAACCCAACTGCACCCCCCAAGGTTTGAGGTTGAAATTCTCAGTGGAGGTGTTGCGAATGTTCCGCTACCCTTGGGAGTAGCTGAGACATAGACAGGGAGGACTTCCAAAAGACTCAGAGGAATTCCAGTTGGTTTTAAGTTCTATTACAATGATGGCTTGCATGCCGAAATTAACCACGTTGGCATACCAACCCACAGAGTGTCTATGCTCCCATTGTTCGCTAGATTGGGCAACACGTCAGACCCCGGATCGAATTCTGACTACACGACTGGCGTTTAGTCACATCCAAAATGATTGTATTGGCTCCAAATGGTTCCAAAAAGCCAGCTCTGGGGCCAGAATGATTGACACCCAGGGGACCTTAGTCATGAGATCCTGGATGTTGATCTTAGATTAGATGACACAAAAGGCAGCCGATGATATCCTGAAAAACCGGATTGTATTTGGGCTGTTCATTGGTGAACCATTCTTGTACCAGTTGGTAGTTTATCCCATCTCTCTCCAAGACGAGTTTTTGAGGCTGCTGTCATCTTGCAGGCTTGTTCGAAGAAAACAACCTATACAGTAGAAACATTGTATGTAGGTGGCTCTATTCGGGTGGGCTCGGTACATCGTAGACGATAGTCTCTGTGTTTTTTTTGGTGATACCCTCTGGTAGATAAACGTAGCGAACTGGAGAATCACCATCTTGAAATAATTTGAATAGGTCAGTCATCATAAATCATCGATACACGCGCTATTTTCCATAGCTATGTTAAAAAACTAGAGGGTAGTCCTATTGTCCTTGATACATCTCTTGTTGGTGCTACCCCCAGTCGATCCTTCCATGGCTGTCTCCCCTACAGGCAGCGATGCTTCGCACTCTTGTGCTGCCTATCTCACACAGGCGCCCAGCCCAGATCTTTCCGAATGGATTCCACAGTAACTTTCCTGGCCAGCAGCAACTTTTCTCAGATTGTGTAAAACCCGTTTTTGTGGTGGTTTTGTTCCTGTTTTCGTTGGTTCCTATATTTTTTGCCAGCAGCAAAAGCAGTAGGCAGTAGGCGGTCTTAATGGTCAAACCCTCGAAGCAGACTGGCATCAGCAAAGTTCACAGGCAATTGGTGTCTGAATCCCAGTGGGTACCCGTCGGCAATCAAACATGGGGAAATCCCCTTTGAATATCTTTGAATGGAGGTCCTAATGGGAAAATCATCTATAACTAGGGGATTTTCCATAGCTGCGTTTGATTACGGGTCAGTTTTTGAGCGGCTGCACTAGTGAGGCAGTGGTTAGATACACCAAGAAAGAACTACGTCTGGAACTCGTATCATGAAGCATTCTTTAGCATTCCAGCCTTGTTTTTTCTCAATGGTGTGTATATTATAGTACTTGTAGCAGTATGTATCAAAGTATGTACATTTTCAAGAAAAACCCTAGACCCACATTCCCTACCATTTTTCCCCATCTACTCGCGTTTAGAAATTTCCCGGGTTTCTCAGCATTGAAATTGATCCGGAAAAGTTCCGCGGTTCCGTCAGTCCTGGCAGTCCTGGTACTTCATCTTCCTTGCGAGAAACTTTGGACATCCTGAAACCCCTGGCAGGCCATCCTGTTGGTGACAGGGCTTATACCAGCATAAAATCTCAGGGATCATCATGCAACTGGGAATCCCCGTATACCAACCACTGGAGATGGATATGTTTGATGGATGAAATGATGACGCACGGGTTTTCCGAAAGAGTTAGAGTCAGAAAACCATATAGATAGAGAATGATGGAGAATGATGGAGAATGATGGAGATAGGAGTAGCCTCTGGTAAACTAACAGTTCACTATGGAAAATCACCATTTTTAATGGGAAAATGCACTATTTCAATGACCATTTTCAATAATGATAAGGTCATGATGAACTCGCCAGCGAGCAACGTCTCGCCAGTAACAACAGTTTGATAGGAGTGATTCTCAGAGGCGATCGATGAACTTCGTCAAAAGCCTTGGGGATTACGCTCCAAGCGATGTTACCCTCTGGTAAACTAACATAGCTGTTGAAAATGGCCATTTATAGTGGATTTACCAGAGGGCATCATCAAATCTTTGGTCAATTTGGTCATGTTTGACCTTTGACATCCTAAAAAACCCTATAAATTTGAGACTGAATTCGCAGCCAAATTGTCCCAGTTCGCAACCACATGCCCGTCCTAGAAATGATGCTGGAGATTGGGCTTCAACCAGGGTTGGAATCTATAGATTATCCAGATAAAAGGGTGAACAACCACAGCCCTAAGCGGATGGATTTTCCCCATCAACCATTACCATTTTTGGTTATACCCCATTTCTGGACAAACTCACATTCATTTTTTGTTGGTGAATCTCAATTTCTGATGGTTAAATTATGTTAAACAGTATTGGCTGGTGAATCTCCATTTTGGCTGGTTAAAACATAATTTTGGCTGGTAAATACACATTTTGGCTGACTAAACTGATCAAATTCAAATTTTTGATGGTAAAAAGATGTAACACCCATATTCTGGCTCATGAAATCTGAGTTTTTGATGGTAAAAAGAAGTAAAAACCATATTTTTGATGGTAAACAACAGATTGTTTCATCGTAATCTGAGTTTTTGATGGTATTTTTTCATTTCTTACTAAGAACCCCTAATTTTTGCCCCGCAGGTCGTGCGACAGAGGCACTTCCCCCAGCGCTCTTTCTGGTGATCCTGGGTGCCATGTCTCAGCGGTAGTTCATGGTAGAAACTCTTTGGGATATGAGTGCATTTTTGTGTATATTGTATATATATATATAATAACATATGATGGCCATATATGAACAAAGCATACTGTTATAATATACATATATATATATTATGTATATATAAATACAATATTATATATAATATATAAATAAATAAATAAATAAATATATATATATAATATAATGATGATAACAATGATAATGATAATAATAATAATGATAATAATGATAATAATGACAATAATGATAATAATGATAATAATGACAACATAATCATTTTATACATATATATGAATTGTAAGTACATGTATATGTATATGCACATGTTATTTGTATAATGTAATAGATTGTTAACGATAAAACGCAACATGGTTTGTAATGACTTTCTGTATGTATTTTTAATATGATCTACTGTACAAGATCGGAATATATATATATAGAATCTAACAGTCGCAATCGTGCGAGTATACGGGATGTTTATTCCCGGAAAAACTTTACCGCTAAAGCAAAGGAAAACAAAATGAACCGAAACAAAGCAAACCAGTTATTGTACAACCAACAACAACAGCAACAACAGCAACACCACTATGGCCGGCACCACCACCACCACCGACAACAACAACAGCAACAACTGTAACAACTGTAACAACCGCAAGAACCGCAAGAACAACAAAAAAAACATAATTATTTCCCAACAAACTTGGGAGACTGGTGATGTGACCAATGGTCCTCAAAAAACCGGGCTGCCGCTGGACTCCAAGGAGGTTCGATTACACTCCTCTCTTTTCCCCTGGAAAAACACAGATGGTCCAACTTTTCTTCCTTGGGCACCCAGGTGCTCAATCCGAAGACGCAACCTGGCTGCTGGGGAAGGGGAGAGGTGCTCAGAGGTGAGTATATATATATATATGTGTGTATCTGTATATATATATATACATATATATATATATGCGCAAACGCATCATTTTGCCCAACATCGCTGTTAGGTGTCCAAAGTTCCAGGGTTTAAGAATTGGGGTTTTAGGGGTTGACCCTTTGGTAATCAAACCTCTTGAAAACCACACATCATCTAGAAGTGGGTGTACTGCAAGTGGGGAATTTCGACCAGATTGGAGTTGGCGAGATAGACTGGTCTAGAAAAACCACGTGCAATTGGCCCACTAATTGGTCAATGGCGCATGTTTACCGGTCCAAAAAAAATTGGCGTATGTAAGCCACAAAGCGCTTGCGCAAGGGAGATGTAGTCCATCAAGACGGGGGAGTTTTCGGCACAGGAAAAGATCACCCAAGACTTTGGAGATTTTCAGGGACAGTTGGCGATACCGATTTTTTTGCAGGATCTGCTCCATGAGGATGTTTATGTATATATATATACATATTTTTTACACATATGTTTAAGCATCACCACGTCATGTGGCTGTGAACTAAGATGGGAATATGGCGGCTGCTACGGATCCAGTCGTAAGAATGGGCAATATTTTTTCCGAACGGAGGAACCAACAACCCCAGGCTGCCAGGGAGGAAGTGGGCAGATCTTTTTTTAAGCGTTCAGGTTCCTAAATGCGTTCGTACAGCAATTCAATCATTAGGTTGGTTTATCGGAACATCTACAGGAAACGATGTTTTTTTTTTTTCATACCATGATATATATATATATGATATATAGGGGGTTCCTGCAACATTTCCCATAAATTCTGGGATTCAAGTGATGAGAAAAAAAAACGACCATTTGAACTGGTCCACTATTTGTTGAAGACTTGATACGATTCTGTTGCGATTGGAGTATTCACTTCGCATGTTTGGATGCATGTTTGGTAATGGACTTAATGGACTTTTCGCAACAAAGCATCCGCAAAAAGCATCCGCAAAACACATGTGTTTTGCTTCAAAAATCTCTGTTCTGTTTTGGCGAAATGCTGATATGTGTATATCCCATGTGTGAAGAGTTGAATGTAAAGAAAAATGTCATCCAAAGAATCATTGGTCTACCATATTTAATCATGGGATTGATTATCATATAGATATCATTGGTCCAAACAATCATATCAATCATGGTTCATTCAATCTTTAGTAAACTAACATAGCTATAGAACATCACCATTTTGAATAGGTAAATCAACGAACTATGGGGTATTTTCAATAGCTATGTTAGTCATTACCAGAGGGTAATCTATAGTAATCATTGCTTGAACGATGGATCCACCTCTGCTCCCATCGTGGTCTCAGCGTCTGAGGTGCCGCACGTGGATTTGGATGCTGAGCTGGCTGCGTCGGTACAGGAGCTTGGACCGGGCAAAAAGTCATCAGTGAAGGGGTTGTAGTCATAATGTCATATATATATATGTATATATATATATACATATATATGGGTAAATTATAGTGACCTCACAGTGACCTCACTGAAATCATGGTTAGTAAGGGGAATTATGTATCCCCAAATGGCTTTATTTTAGGTTAGTGAATTATTATAATTTACCCATATATATATACATATATATATATATATTAATATATGTATATATATATGTCTCTTGTGTAAGTATACGTATTCATGCATGTATATGTAGACATACACATCGGTACATTACATAGTACTATCATGATGGTTATTCGTACTTGAATGGTATTAGGGCCATCCGGAGATCCTACCCGAGCAGGTTTTTGACGCTCACCCGAAAATGCTACAGTGCTACCATGGCTAGTTGGGGTGATCAGGATGAGAAGTTGCCATGGTAAACCAATTTCCAATGTACCCTCTGGTAAACTAACATAACTATGGAAAATCACCATGCTATTAATGGGAAAATCCACTATTAATAGCCATTTTCAATAGCTATGTTAGTCATTACCAGAGGGTATCTTTCAATCACTAATGACCGACCCCCAATTAGCCAAACCATTTCAGTAGGAAAACATGAGTTGGTTTTTCCCTCTATCCCACGGTTCCCAAGGTTTGTCAGCAAGGGGGAAACCCACCTGGCTTTGGCTGAGGTCTGTGACCTATTGGCACAAATTCCCCGACCAATCATTGGTGTGGCGTAGGGGCAGCCCAGGGATCCCAGGGTGATCATCCGTGGGAGGGGAGTTCCGTCTGTGATACGATTGGATAATATGAAGATAAGGAATTACTCTAAAGGATCTGAAAGGGTATAGATGGCGACCCAATTTGCCAGCTGCAATCTTCAGAATGCAGATTCTAAACTGAGTAGCGAGGAAAAACCCCAAAACAACATACATATACATATACGTACAGCTGTAGCACGTGTGTCTTAACAATCTCCATATGATATCCCATTCCACATGTCTTACCTTACCTTCACACCACGAGAATATCACTGATCAACAGGATCCTTCAATGGTTGATCCCGATATCATCCAGCTGCCATGTGTGCAATTATGCAAAATGTGATATTACCGTGTATTACTAATAAAATGATATAAAATGATAGCTATATGATGTATGCATATAAATGTGTATATATATATAGAGTTGCATAAACACTTGATACCTCGAGAGGATATATATATATATACACATGTTTTTCTACATACATGTCTAAAAAATGCAGGAGGTCTTATTGGCAGTTTCATGATTGGGGTTTATTGAAAATATTGAAAAATCATTGGCACTAACTGTTACGGTCCAACAGTCGGCACCTGGTGAGTTCCGGGAAAAAAAGGTTCACCAGGTCACAGGGGGTATCTGCTTGGTGGTGACTGGAACATGGCTGGATTATGACTTTCCATATGGGAATGATTGGGAATGTCATTTTATCCCAACTGTTACTCACTCAGATTTTTCAGAGGGGTAGGTTGAAACCACCAACCAGTTATTTACTTTGTATCACTAGGTTTTTTTTTGGCTATTTCGGTCGTTTGTTTGTGCTAAGTTGCTACACAAACCTACAACGCCCCGGCGACCAGTGGATTCTGCCGACATCGATGTTTAAAAAGAAACAAGTACCAGCTATACCAGCTATATACCAGCTATACACCAGCTATACACCAGCTATATACCAGCTATTAGTTACATTACTTACCTTAAAAAAACACAGGGATTCTTCACTTTTCCAAGGTCTGATTTCTGTCCGAGGAAAGGTCGCATCAGTCCTCGAGGAGCTCAACTCCTAGGCTCCTGTGATCGAGTTCTTGCCTGTGACGACGCACACTTTCTGGAGGCCTACCGGACGGGGACGGTGACCTGCGCAGGGAACCCTGCGCGTGTTACTATGGGACGGGACGGATCAGCCATGCCATGTCGCCAATGGGATAACAATGGTTAGATATATGGGAAAATACTGGGATATATCCCATCATTTAGATGATGATAACATAGGCCTGCTTTTGAAATTTTGCCAACTAGATCACTGGTCCTCATTCTCCATGGTTTCGGCACAAAAATCTCCCCGTATATCGCCCGATTACTGTGATTTCTTGCCTGTTTCCGGGAATTCATAAGGCTGCGTTCTAAACAAGTCCATAATTTTGGTCTGAATGAATGGTTAGGTTTTGTGCGACAGGCATTGCGTCCCCAGTTTTATGGGCGGATTGGTTCAGGTTAGCGAGAAAAAGGTATGTTCGCGCACTTTGATTCAGGTTCTGTTGCCATTTCAGTTATACATGCGTCTCTATGTAATACACAGTAATACCCTCTGGTAAACTAATGTAGTGAACTGGAAAATTAACCATAGAAATAGTTGAGTTACCTATTAACAATGGTGATTTTCCATCGTTTTATGTGGCTGTTTACCAGAGGGCATCACATGGCAGGGACCCTCGGAACGCCTGGGGGCTGTCCAGACTGTACCGGCCCGGGTGCTCGGGGTGTCACGAGAAGTTACCCGGCCTGGTAAACGTTTACAAAAAACGATGGAAAGATCCACCATGCATGCTATCAATGGGTAAGTCCACGAACTAAATCTATTTCGACTGGGTCATTAAAAATTAAAATAATAGCGAACTGTTAGTCATTACCAGAGGGTATGGTCTGAAAATTGAGGGGAAAATCATGGAACACTGGAACACTCCCCTAAATCCACTGGTTTGTATCCATTTGAGGTCCAGATACAAGATGACTGCCGCACTGGCGGATACTGACATATACTGATTGCCAGAAGCTCTGTGAATTCAATGGGAAGTTCTTGGACCTAAGGTGAATTGGCCAATTCACCTATGGCTTTGTAGAACCCTTTTGATCGCATCCAGATTTCGGAAGGCAGATTTTTGTTAATTCCCTGTGGATGAACCACGGCGGATTTGACATGAACATGCAAACAAGTTTTTGGTCCCTCAAATATATACCTATATACCTGGGCCGTCCCTTACTTAAAAAGTGTAGAGTAGACTTTCAAAAGGTCACCCATCGCCCACAGCCCCTAGCCGCCCTAGCCCGACAATCTTCCCCCCCTAGGCTGGAAGCCTAGGCGCGCGTGCTGATGGAGAGATGTTGTCCAGACCGATGCTCACACCAATTCTACATATATATATACACATACATCATACATTATATATATACACATACATTATACATCATATATATATATACACATACATCATACATTATATATATATATACACATACATTATACATTATATATATATGTATACATGAATATATCATATCTCTACCCCAAGAAACCGGCCGGGCCTTCTGCAGCTTTTGCAGGCTGCGAAATGGCCGTGCTGGCGCACTGCTTGGAACGACTGAGCTCTGTAGCTTGGATGGAGGTGTAGCTTGAGATCTGGGGATGGGTCATGGCACCCTGGTACCGTGCCGTGAACCCCAAGTCATAGCTGGGTTAAAATGGATGTGAATAACCCCCTAAAAATGGTATTTTCATAGGTATTGATCCATACCCATCTGGCAATCTACCCTCTGGTAATGACTAGGCCCATAGGAATAGTCGATTTACCTATTAAAGATTCGGTGATTTTATACAGTTTGCGAACTCTTAGTTTGTCAGAGGTTATTTCTGAGGATATAACTGGCCGGGTTACTTTTGTTTTTCTTTGGTCCTTATTTTTTTCTGAGGATATATGGAAAATACAGGGATAATACTGGGATAAGCCATAGAAATAACAGTGTTTTTTTGATAACAATAATACTGGACATGTTGTTTCTGAGGAGATGGGACATATGATCCAATACAATGATCATACTAAATAATGAGAACAATAGTGTGAGGATAACAATGGTTGATAATCCACTATGATCCAATATTATCCAATATACCATGTATTACGATGATAGCCAATAATTATGGGACATATTAGCCAATGGAATAACAATGGTTAGTTATTATGGATGATTTTATCAATGAACAATGGCTTGATTTATGATTATGTTTTACAACAATTATCATACAATGATTGGTTATATAATGATTGTGGGAAATATTATATGGGATATATTTGGATAATACCGGGTAAACATTATGACTATCGTTATACATGGGATAACAATGGTTGTATATTCATTATGGGAAATATTAGCCAGTATATTTAATTCTGGGATAATGGTGGGTTAATAATCTTCAATGATTTCCCTACCATTGAAACTTATGAGTTTGGGTTCCGAGTTCAATTGCTATGCAGTATTTCCACATTTGCGGATTTGTTTGGGTCAGAGTTACCACTTCATCTCCTGTTGTTTGACTATTCAATACCTATTCAGTTTACGCTCTGGTAATGACTAACATAACGAACTGGAAAATGACCATAGAAATAGTGAATTTTCCCATCAATAGCATGGTGATTTTCCATAGTTACGTTAGTTTACTAGAGGGTAGTATTTTTTTTTTACAACAAGATACCCATTATATTTCATTATATTATACTTGGGCACTTGGAATGCAGGATGATTTTTCATCCGGAGGAAAAAAAGTCACTGGGTCCACGTAGTCTCCACCAATATCAACTGGGGTCCAAGTCTATACAAAAATGATATCAATGGCATCCATGCATATCCATGCGGCATTTGGTACCATTATCCACGTGTGAAATCTTTGTAAAATGAGAAGCAACCAGCATTGTGGAGACGCAGATTCCTGATTTTTTTTGGGGTCGCAGGCCCAGATATGTGGGTCAATGTCTTTATATACATATATAGAGACTATATAGTATTATATAGATCCACGATAGAGATGCTAGGTGCTGCTGCTATCACTGTACTGCTACAGGAATGGCTTACGACCACTAGCTATTATGGCTAGGCCGTATCAGGCACTCCGGAAGAGCACTTTGTGTATTCTTGCAGAAGATGTGATTGGATCCAAACCAATCCCGTCTCACTATTATTTTGAAAAAAAAGCTCCAAAAATATCAGATCCAATAGTTTTTATGTTATTTTTCGGTATTTTTAGAAATGGAGTAAGCAAAATTTCAATTGGGCGACTCCAGTTTTCGCTAAACCCTGGGCAGTGGCCCCGGATGTAACGGCAAAACGGAAAAGGAAGGAACAAAAAGATTGGCTTTGAAGTTGGCCAACTATTGTTTATGGGGGATATAACTACAGCTATGGTATTCATGGGGATCAACGGAACCAACAAGAATATCATTAGCTCACCTTGTTTCAGGAGTCCAAGGTCCACATGGTGCTTTTGTTTTCATTGACCAAACCCCTGGGGAAAAATGGTGGTTTTCCAGGTGAAGATTTTGAAGCCCTGTGCCAAGGCGAAGTTGGCATCCATGAAGAGCAATTTCTTGTGCTCCAAGGTGGGGGCTTGTGTTTTTTGAGGCCTGGGATTGGTTCGAAAATGGCTGGGATTATCTGGGATTTTAGCGCCCAAATAGAGAACTTCCATATATTTTTCGATGGGGAAACTGATGATAATCACCATTGGAAGATCCGGACCATCCCATTTTTCCGGCCATCCTCTGCCTTTCCAGAGACCGGGGTGCTACGGTAAACACTGTGAACTGGGTTTACCGTAAATGATTGGGCATGTTGTAATTGGGCAAACAATGAGCGCGCCCAAAGGTCAAATGAACTACTGTATCCTCCTGTACGTAAATGGAAGCCACTTGCCAGGGTGCAATCATAGCGCTCTAAAGATCAACATTTCAAATCCTGTTGAGAAGATTGTTGGTTTCAGTTGGTTTCAACCATGTGTTGGCTGCTTCCCACTCACTACTCAGTGGGTTGTACCACTACACAGTTGACATGCCTTGAAGCGACTCGGGATATCTCTGCTTCATTCCAGCAACAACTTCCAGCCCTCTTTAGCAAGTGATTGGATTGTATAATACTTCATCATGGATCATCATGGAACTGAGCATTTTGGGGATGTGAACTAGATCGGTTATGTCAACACCGGATGATACTCCATTTTAGTCTCGGATCAGTATTATATTATATTGGATCACTATGATATGGTGAGAATCCCCAACAATTATATAATCACTAGTTCCAAAATCAGGAATTTTCCTAAAATCAAAAACCTCATATTTTTGGTGTTCGTTTTTTCTAACCTTACTATATAAACTGCTTCATATTTTCGTTGAATCCATCCCGCGTTTTTATGAAAAACCAACCAGGTGCTTCAGATGATGAAGCCAAAGGCCGCCGTTTTCTGTTTGGGGTATCAGAAATTCCATGGCGATTGGGGAAGTACTGGGGAAACAAAACCCGAAAATTTTCAGAAAAACTCTATGGCAACTATGAATCCGGGGTTGACATAAATTACATGTTTCATATCATGTGAATCATATCATGTTTCTTCCCGTTGCACCGCCAGCATGTCATGTAATACTTGATCGCCAAACGGGTCCCCTGGGAGGTGGCGACTGCGTCCAGTGGAGTCCAGCTGTCAACGAAACAGAAAACCCTACGTGACTTCAAAAGAGGCACTACTTGGAGGATCATCCCACTTAGTAAACAAATCGGGGGCTTGGGAACTAGGGTCATTCACCCCTTTCTAAGTGTGATGATCCTCCAGGTAGTCACTATACAATATAATAATAATATTATATAATTATGTATTTACTCCTTTCATCTCCTTTCAACAAATTGCAGGTGCTTTGTTCACCAAAGGCTCCTTGCAATTTTGGATGACCAAATGACCAAATGGATTCCAAGAATTGCAAAATGCTGCAGCGTTGTGGCCTCTGACAGGTATCCGATACGAGTGTCAGGCAGCGGGCACAGCGGGCAGCCAGTACATGTGGGGTCACTGCTGGAACTGTGTTCCAGAAATGATGTCACCACGCAGAGATTTCGGAAAGTTTTTGAATACAGAGCTTTGATGAGCTTTGTATTTTTCCATATTTTTCCATACTTTTTGTATAATTATTCAGAAGATTCGATTCTACAAAAAGTATGGAACAATATTCAGAAGATTTTTCAGAAGATTCGATTCTAGGCTGTTTTGTATTTTTCCTTTTTGTATACTTTTTGTATAGCCTGTTTTGAAATGTGCTTTTCCTTTCTAGGTTGGTATTGCCAGCGAATCCCAAAACCCAAAACGTTTTTTTTTTTTTTACGCCGAAAAGGCGACCATCCCAAAACAAGCATACTTAGTTAGTTCATCCCACCAAAAGGATGGTTAAGACCCTATGCATAATGGGATGTTTATATCTATCAACTGGCGCAGGATTTCGCAACCATCCACAGGAGGTCTCGATTTTTGGCGTATTTGATATTATTTTGAACCATATCCATTTGTGTGATTCCCATGAAAAACTTTGCATCTGCAGCTGATGAAAAAAGAGTCGAGTCTCAAGAAGGGTTTGTCTGAAACTGCAGCGGAACACTGCACAATTCAGTGCTTTATCATCGTTTTCCCCTTTTAAAGTTGCCATTTGGTGGACAGTTCCACCATTTTTGAAGAAACCCAGAGGGTGGAACATATCAGGGACCCTGTTCTGGTCGGCTTTGGCCTTTTTTAAGAGCTTTCCATTCTTCGGAAAAACGATCCCAGTTGATGTATGTAGTAGTCGGATGTGAATCGCATTTGTTTAGTATATTTATAATTAGTTAAGCCATATATCAACCATATTATAAGTGGGGTGTAAGCTGGTTATTACCCTGTTACGATGCTGCCGGGACTGCCGGGGCATTCGCAGGAGTGCAAAGGATGAACTCGCTCGCGCAGAGGCGGGGCTTGTTCTTTATCGCCAGGTGGAAGCGAAAAACAAGCGACCTAGTTTGTACCCTGTCCAATTTTCGCATATTGGATGGTGGATATCCTTTTGTGACCCAACTGTTAGCAGATATGCAGGAATGATGTTTTTTTTTTTTCCTCAACTTGGGGACCTTCACAATCACAAAGACTATCACAAAACTCTCAAAAAAAAACGCCAAGAAGCCACGGCCTATTTCGGCATGCCCAGGAGGAAAGCTGATGAAACTTTGCCCCCAGAGGAGTCCCTTAAGTCCCTTGAGAATGGAAGAAATGATACAGGTGAGTTTGGTTTGTCACATCCATCCCAGGACCTATATCATCCATCATTTTTCATGACATTTTTCAGGGTCCCTGGGTCCCCACTGTCCCTGTGTTGAGATCTAGTTCTCAGGCATTGGTGCCAGACGCCAAAGGTAGGGCCCGCCGGCGCAGCAGCCGGGCCTCACAAGCGTATTCCATCAAGGAAGAGGAAAATGAGGAAGACCTTGAGGTCTGCCTGGGGATGATCAGGATGATTACCCTAAGCTCATACTTGAAGGACCATGTCACGGTCCTCGTAAGTGGTGAATGAATCACAGTATTTATGAGCTAGGGAGAATGGGACGAACCGACACATCGGGGACGAATTGTAACTAGGGTTATAATTGTAGAGCTTCGCACACCGGCGATGTCATAAGGGTTATGTATAGTAGTGTGAGCGTTGGTGTTGTTAACGTGCTCTGCGCGTGCGCGCTGGTGCAGAGCACAGTGTGATGTTCGGGTTATAAATGGGCGAACGCCCTGGTGCCGCCGACCCCCTTTCAGGGTAAGGGTAGCTAAAGCATGGCAAGAGCCCAAATCTGATGGTTTGAAATTTCATTTCCATATTCAAATATATTCAAATGGCCATTTTGGGATATGCCCCATTGACAAAGCCATACCAAAGTAATGGCGGAAATCGGCCGAAAGCGGCAAGGTGAAGGACATGCAAAGCAAGACAAGAATTGCAAAGCGTCAGGTGCAGACGAACAGTCCCAAACGCTTCGAGAGCCAAAGCTGGGAGAGGCACCAGTGCATCCAACCGCAAGGACGGAAATGGCGCGAAAGCGCCAAGGTGAAGAACACGCGGAGCAAGAAAACAAACGTAAAGCTTTACGCACGATGGGGGTGCAACCGTGCCCAACCAAACGGGAGGTGACGCAGCCTGCAGCAAAGCGATTTGACTACGTTTGTCCTTTTTGTAACGTTGCTGTCAGCAGCAATGTCCGGTCTGGCCAAGTAGATCAGCGCAGAGGTTGCGGGAAACAATTTCAAGTGAAAGATGGGCAGGTCGCTGCCAAAAAGTTCGTGTATAGGTGCCCTTTCCGCGACGGCACTGTGGCCAGCAATGTGACCAGCGGGCAAATCGATCATCACGGCACGTGCGGCAACCGATTTGAGGTGCAGAACGGCCTGCTCAGCAAGCGAACGCGGCGGCATGCGCGCAAGTGCCCACTGTGCAGAACAACTGTTTGGTAATCGCATACGTCCGGGCGGATTCAAGTAGAGCATGACGCACCCTCTGGACGGCCGCGCGAGCAACGAAGCTGGACAACAACGTAAGGAAAGCACCGCAAACAGAGCGCAAGGGGCGATTGCATTGGGGCCGAGATGTGAAACATGCGATATAGACACAGAGCACTGGACGTGCAGAGTGAAAACCCTATAGAAACAAAGTTCTGGCACATAGCAAGTTGTGGGATCTGGCAGACGCTGAAGCTGCAGCGTGGCAGGCTATCAGAAACAAAGTTTTGGGAGGTGGCAAGGAGTTGTGGGATGCGGCAATGGGCTGAAGGGAGGGTTTTCAAGGGTGGGCGAAACGTGCCGAAGGGTGGCTGAAGCTGCAACAGTTCGCAACCCTTGGCACAAGGGTCTGAAGCTACAGCGACGGGTTTTCAAGGGTGCGCGAAACGTGCCGAACCGCAGTTTCGAAACCCTATAGAAAAGAGTTTGGGCTGCAACGGTTTCGCAACAGGTGGCATGCAAAGCTGGCACAGGTGAGGCCACAGCCAATGTCGCACACCTACGGTGATCCCAGGCGCCGCCCCGCAGGGGTCGGCGGATTTACCCTTTACGATTCGTGGGATGATCAGATAGAAGTTGGCAAAATCCGCCTAGATTTGCGAAAATTGAGTTTTCTATCCTTTTTCGGGGAACGGAAAGCACTAGA